CATTTTAATTAAATCTAAACACACGCACACGCACACACACACGCACGCGCACATGCTCCCTCAATATAACGCAACGGCATGCTGCCTGCATAGAATAGACAGGAGTAGACGGGGAGCAGAGGAATGTGTGCCAGAGTTCTGGATCATAAAATTTTATAGCTACAGGTGACCTGACCTCATCTGACCCTGGTCTCCGCTTATAGGGGCCTAGATTACACGTATATACATGATATATGTACCGGCCAAAAGACGGTATAAATTATTGAAAGATTTTGGTTACGGAAAATTTATGGCCTGAAAAAAGTGCCGCGGCGGTCGCCGCGGCTGCCGCGGCAGTTCCGACGCCCTTGACTGGAGACTTGGGGTTTTGGTGTTGCTGTGGATACGTTTGGTGTTAGATGTAGCCTCTGCGCTCCCAGTCTAGTGTAATCAGCAACGTTTCTGGAATATTTGCAGATTTATTCATCTCATCAACATCGTATTATATGTAAGGCAAGTCACTTATAAATACAATTTCTAATTATAATCGTAATAGTAGCTTTCTCTACTGCAAGTTTATCACCCCAGATTATTTTAGCAGGAGACCCTAACCCAAACTAGGATTGTGCACAATCCGTAGTGTTGATCTGTCTATTTGATCAACTTTGTCGCTCTCCATCTTAGATATAGTCCATTGGACTTTGAAGAATAATCCTTATGAGGTTAGTACTAGTATTTCTCTGCCGCTGCCTAGGTTAACGAGTTTATGTGTACACGGTACAGTGTCAATGGACAGAAATGTATTCAGTCAACATTTGATGATATGTCGATTTCGTGACTCTAGAACGCGTGGATACATTAGTCTAAAATAGATACTGCTAAGCCAATGTATGGTAAAATATGAATTAATTTGCTCCTAACTTATCAGATTCTAACAACCGTTACATGAGATGTTATATAATCGTACTTGCTGCTGACACAATAAAATATAAACTGTGGTAACAGTAGATCCAAACCTCATCCACTGAAAAATGGGTTCAAGCCCATATAATCAGTACCCCAACCCCTTCCATAGGTTAATTTCTAATAGGGGATATCTGATGTGAGTATAGTGTTAACTAGTGTTAATCTATACCCTAGGCATTCGTCTCCAAATATCTTTCCTAGCATGGCTAATGCCAGTACTGATGGAGCTGACCATGTTTCTCTATTGATTCTTCACAATGCTACTCAGTTACTAAGGTGTAGTAAAGAGGTTGGGCGTGTGACGTCAATTATCAGCGCTCCAAGCAGCGACGGAAAATGATAAGCAAAAAGCCGAAGTGAGCTCATGCACAACAGACACGTGTCCAACGCATTTCCCACATGCCAATAACGTTTGGGTGAGGTTAGATTACAATCTAATATCTCAGGAGTAATATTAGAGACAAGTTGTTGGTCTTGTTTTAGAGAGGAATGCTGTGTAATGCAATACTATTAACTTGCTTTAGACCAGCATTTAAAATGAAGTAACTTTGCCATAAAGTAGCACTATTTCCCCATTTTCTTTTTAAACACTATGTATTATTAGCTCCTGATGTAATATAATGTTACATAAGAAAATGTAATTTAATGTAATGTAATGTAACATAAACAATGCAATGCAATGTAATTTAATGTAATGTAATGTAACATAAACAATGCAATGCAATGTAATTTAATGTAATGTTAAACATTATGAATGTAACTGCACATAGACTTGTGAGATAGTACTGTAGTAGCATCTGGTTAACAAAAATAGATTATGATGACTACTCGTACCTGTACCCACACAAATCCAAAGTAGTAATAGTTGTAGTCCCAGGAACGCGGCCCTGGTGCCCATGATTTGTCTCTGACGGCATTTGTCGTAATCGTAAACGACGCGTTCTGCCGGATCTTGTAGATGAGGTGGTTTGGCAGACTGCCATCATCCTCGTTCATTTGAAACACGAGGCCTGGATTATAATTTATAATAAGAATGTTCAATGTTATAATAATAAAACTACAAACTGAGCTAAAGACTAAACACTACAACTGGAAACTAAAAATACGAAAACAATGGTCACTGTTGTTTAACATTTGCTTAAATAATATTTCTGTTACTATTTTTAATATTCCACTATTCTATGCATATAGAAGCACTATGGAGATATGTTACTCAGGTGAATGTACTTACTAGCAAAAACAGTGACATTGTCAGAGTATGCCTGATTGGAAACATACTCGACTAGCGTTTTCTCATCAGCAAAGCCTTGGAACACATCAAAGCTGATGCCTTTCATCAATAACACCCAACTGCAAGCTGCACTATCTGGAACAAACAGACTAAATAATCAAAACTCATGCAGAAAGAATGGAAAGATATTAAAATGGCTTTTTTGTTCAGCTTTGAAGCCGAAGATACAAACATTACTTTAGCTACGAAGTCAGAGGGCATCAGAGGGAGAAACAATGTTTAACTTTATTGGGTCAGGGACAGAAATCCCACATGTCTATGCTCAGCCATTCATGTCACTATTCCTCGTTGGTAAAGCGGGAGACACACTATGCAAATTTCGCTGCGATCAGATCCACAGCGAAATTTGCAGCGAAAATATTCGCACCCGCATGCGATAACTTGAGCGGACACACTAGACACGATCTACTGTCGCCACATGGCTCCAACCATGGCTCCAACAGTCATGTGATATCTGGATTGCCGCCATTTCTCAATCACGTAATTATCATACTGATCAATGATTCACTGCATTATAACATTAGCCGGCTTGATTTTCGCTTCCACACACACACGATGCTAATTTGTACGCAGCGATAAAAAATCGCATCAAAAATATCAAACGTTTGATAGCTGCGAATTTCGGTGCGGATAAAATTCGCGGCGAAATTCGTCATCGCTTGAGCGGTCACCCTATGCGAATTTTGCTGCAATTTTAACAATCGCTGCGGTCGTGCGAATAAATTCGCATGGTGTGCCATGGTGTGTCACTTAAGGAATGATTCTGGCATTGCTCATTGCTAGTAAACAATTGGAAACATGTATTGTATTGTGGTTTAGTTATCAATGGGTATATTTCTTGGGTTTAAAGGTAGGATGCCTCAAACACACTATTTAATTTCTGCAAAGTCTGCAACTATTCGGAATAAAATCTTTTGTATGTGATTTAACATGCCTTAAAGAGGGGGCACACGAGCGAATATTTTTCGCCCGATTGCGGCGATTTCGAAATCGCTTTGAAAATTCGCTCGTGTGCCCGCTACAGCGACGGCGACTGAGTACGGCGATTCCAGTTGCACGATCAATTGCAAGTATCAAATATGTTTGATATTTTCACCCGATTTTATTTCGCCGGCAATCAGATCGCCGAGAAAATTGCTTGTGTGCCCAGAAAATTGCTCGTGTGCCCAGAAAATTGCTCGTGTGGCCACTGTGGCGAACACAATCGACGGACAATCGTTGGACGGCGCCATATTGTACAGGTCACATGATCGATGGATTTGTAGGGTACGTTGGCGTATGGTCTCGAGTAATATCGCAGCGTGTGCCTGTTCGTGATCGGCGAAAAATATCGCTCGTGTGCCCCCTGCTTAAGACAAGACTTCTGCAGAGTATGATTATTACTATACATGTCTGTTTCATTTTAGTCAGATACAACAGTTTAAATATTCCTACCGATAATATCGAGTTTATGCAAAAAATCCTCAGAAGTCAAGATGTCAATTTCCATAAATGCATTAACGCCCAGCTGGTGTGCCATGGTAGAGAGAACATCTGTGTAGTTCATACTGTTCTGTATCTATCAGGTAAACACAAAATAAATGACACATGTTGATGCATTATTATTTAAAAAAAATCGTTACCATGCTTAGCATGCTATTAATTTCACTTCAAATTAGATACACAATAATGGCTTAATCTATAGGAATAACAGGTGCCAAAAACTAATCAGGGTTTAGCACCATACCGTTTTGATATTCTTCTAATATTCTTTGAATATTCTTCGATAGTTTTCCAATATACCTCTTTCAGTTGAGCTAGGTTGTCCTGCGTGCTGTTTAGCTGGTGGTAATCTCGTATCTCCCGAGACACGTTCAACCACTTGTTGGCATACTGAGTAATGGTGTCAAACAACACAAAGGTGCTGTTTGCCTGCCAGAATTACCAATAGGAGCATGAACATTTCTATACATGCATGCACGTACGCACACACACATGCACGTACGCACACACACAAGCATGCATGCACGCACGCATGCACTCGCGCATGCACGCACGCACACACACACACACACACACACTTATACAGGGTTCTCCCCAAGTCTTCAACACATCCGGCATACCTCCATAGCTGAATCTAAATTGTGACATCCAATAAATCCTCTGACATGCCTTAATTACCAGCTGTGATTACTTTTGACATAATGTCATTTCTGATTAATGATTAACCTAGCACTCACAGCGAGATAACCATGGCCCCTTAGACATTAGACTTATTAGACATATTAGACTTGTTGCTATGCCGGACTCCTATCAATAAACCTATATGTAGTAGTATCAGGAGTGTCATAATATAGATGATAGCAATTATCTGATTACATTATTGAATATAGTCTATATTATGACACTCCTGGTAGCATACCTTCTCCACGATGTCGTCTGCTGCTGTACTGTTGGGTGCGTAAAGGACCTTGGGGTTGCTGTACAACACATGCATGAGAATGCCCAGCAACTCCTTCTGCCTCTGCGTAAATACTGACGAATCTGGTGAAAGCAAAGCGATAAATTATCAATCTATTTATATTTGTAATAAATTTCCTAAAAATTCTTTTAAAAAAAGGCTCCATTAACTTGAAGAAGCTGGGGGATACTAGTATACATAATTACTGTTAATCAGTTAATAGAATAATAAAAGTTGTACTCATTAACATGTAAACAACTGTTCTTGTCATATTGTATGTCATAGAACAGTCACACAACAGTCTTTCCACCAATAAGTGTGCCGATCTGCATTTCAAAGTAGATTATTTACATATCATTGTCAACAAACAGAGCGTGTGATTTTTGCACTCGGGAGACGGAAACCCCGTCCCTACACTAGGTTAATTACCTTTGTATACGTTTCGAGATAGGTACCAGTCCATAAATATTTGTGAATGTTGATGAGGAATTGTGAATGAATTGTTTGAACATTTCATTATCGCAATTCTGAAGATGGCGGGCACACGTTTGCTGTTTATCCACTGTTTTATAGCCTATAACAGCAGGAACTCGTAATGACTTTTATGCTGAAGGAATAAGTAATATTCACGCTGGCAGGTGAGTCTAAATTTATTTTTCGGTTTATTTCAGAAATGATCATTTTAATAGTTGATTACCTAATCAGTGCCTGCAAATGATATGCAAACTTTTTTTGTTATAATTGATCATTGGGACACTACTAGCTGTTACCTGAACCGAAGATATCGGTGGCTTCTCCTTTAGCCGTGCCACTGCCATCACTGTCGGAGCTACTATCGACAGAGCCATCAGAGCTGGGAGGTTCCTTCCCACACACTGTCTTCTGCATGGCTGCCCAAAGATGCAGCATTCTCTGTGTACTCCCCTGCTTCTCTCTCTCCTTCTTATCCTGGTGGGAGATTAATGATAAAGGCACGTATGTCAGTGTGTGATTGCACCTAAGCTCAGTCGTTTTGTGCATTTTTTATTCAGAAAGCCTCGAAAATTGTCTAATCACTTCAGGTTCTCAAAGGATAATTTAGTCACCTATGCCATTTGGTTGTAGTCTAATTATAATCCTCAGATAAACAACTCGTGGGTATGTTGACATCTGTGCACCGTGCCGTTACAAGTTACAGGCTATGCACAATAATACAACAGATGTAAACAATGAAATGGCTCTACCAGTCTACTGCCAGTTTGAACTTATTGCCCTCTTTTGTACTCTAAGAGAAAAGGAAGAAGAACGATGCAAGAATTTTACATGCTCACATTACAGTTAGCCACAGCTATGTGTTCAACCAGGCGACCTAGCTGTCTGAGTGATATAACCACACCCCTTGCATAATGTTGCTAGGTCCGTCACACTAGAACAGTTCATTCATTTTTCATGCAGGGCGCGAAATTAGCACCAGCCCATTGGCATATGCCGGTAAATTATTTGGAGGGCCAGTGACATTGGCAAAACACTGGCCCTCCGAGCCCGTGGTTTCAGCCATGTTAGCGAGTACCTACATTTTTAGCTCACCTTGACATCGTCAAGATGAGCTATTGCCATGGGGTGTCGTCCGTCATACGCCCGTCCGTCCGTCAACATTTGGCTACAGTCAACGATAACTCAGGAACCGTTTGACCCACATGTTTCAAATTGCATATAGTTGTTACTCCTATGGGAGAGGTTTGAACGTCCTATTTTAGAGCACGCCAGTCAACCTACTTTTGAGCCACGTCCACTTTTTTGCAAAAATAGAAATGGCCATAAGTCAGATCAGGTTCAACGGATTTTGCTCATTTCTGGTATGTGAATGAATAAGGACTGGCCCCAAAACATATCACACAGGTTTTGATATTTTTTTTAAATTATGCAAATTAGGTAGATTTCGGCAATTCCCCTATGCATTTCAGTGTCTGCCTACGGTCAACGATAACTCAAGAACGTACCGTTTGACCCACATGTTTCAAATTGCATACAGTTGTTACTCCTATGGGAGAGGTTTGAACGTCCTATTTTGGAGCACGCCAGTCGACCTACTTTCAAGCGACGTCCACTTTTTGGCAAAAATAGAAATGGCCATAAGTCAGTTCAGGTTCAACGGATTTTGCTCAATTCTGGTATGTGAATGAATAAGGACTGGCCCCAAAACATATCACACGGGTTTTTATTTTTATTTTTAAATGATGCAAATTAGGTAGATTTTGGCAATTTCACTATGCATTTCAGTGTCTGCCTACGGTCAACGCCATCAGCTTGTATGCCAACAGATCTGAAACATTTATTTTCGCATCAAAAATTACTCATCATCATTATCAAGAGTATATAATGGGAGATATATAAAGAGTTCTCCCATATATACTCTTGCTTTATATATCCCCCTCCCTCTTCTATCACACCCAAGGTGAGCTACAGTGTCATTGACACTTTCATTATTTATAGCAATAATGAGCAAATACTTGATTCAAACACTTTGGACATCATTCGGACAAGCTTTTTTGAATTATCATTTCAAGTCTCATATTATGTCCGTTCTGGTTCAAACAGCAAACAAAATTTGTGAGGACTGGTAATTGTGTGTCACTTCGTTATTGAACAGCATTTTCAGAATGCCCCTATCATAAATGCTGAGTGGCTAGAGCTACCTGTCAACCACTCTGGGCAGGTAGGTCGATTATAGGTAACGTTAAAATACTGTGTTAGATGAACCAACAAAGGAGGTACTTACCAGCCTCTCCTCATCAATGTCGTATTCCTCATCATTCAAGCCATAGTCTGTGTCATTGCCTGAAATTGGAAGGGAAACATCAGGAGAGTGGAACTGGTCAAAGGCAATATATTTGACAGTAACACGCTAAAACCAACAAGAATGCATTTATCACATTAGTACAGTAATTGGTAATACCATGCATTTATAAAGTAATGCTTTCCAGTAAACCCGTTTGTAGTGCAAAAATCAATAAGAAATCACATTGTCCCATCGACTTTTATTGTATAATTGCAGATGCATTCCTACAAATACATTTTTGATTAAAGGATGTCGGTAATCATCCAATCTCCCTTAACATACCACAATTATAAATGCATGACGCAGCAAAATACCACAAAATGGGCGCGCTTGTACACATACGAGTCGCATGATGTGATAACGGGGGTTCTTAAGCAAAAACGCAAGAGTTGCAAAGCAAACAATGTTCAAATGTCGCTTTGCTTTTCCATTTTTTTCAGAGCGAGACGAAAAGAATAATTATTATTTGCAAGCGTGCCACGCCGCGGAAACGTGTTTCTATACACGTAGGCTTATAAATTTCGCATTTCTTTTTGCGAAACATCTCTTATCTATCTCGCCACTTGGTGAAATGACAGCGTATACGTAGTCACGCCATCCACGCACGCACGCACGCACACTTTCACCTCCGCGCGCACGCGCGCACTTTCACGCATGCCCGAACGCATGTCGGCATGCACGAACGCACGCACGCACGCACGCACGCACGCACGCACGCACGCACGTACAAACTCCAACACCCGCCGCGGGTACACGCACGCGCACATGCGTTTAAAGAAAGCATAGGGCACGCGCGCATATACGCACACTCTATAAGCAAATCATTGCAGCTGATTTTTTTGTCGTAAACGCAGATGTTAGATAAGAATAGTCAGCAGTTGTGGCTACGTGACCGAGCCAGGGTCGCGGGATCGCAGGTAGACATGAGTTCATCGGGTGAATCAACGTGAAATGACAGGTGCGATAATGCTATCATGGCTGGATTTTAAGTGCACACGAACTGAACTCATAAATGAAAGTGTCAATGACACTGTAGCTCACCACAAAAAAGGACACAAATGAGTGAGTGAGAAGAAGTCAGTTTTAATTGAGCAACCATCAACGTACATTATAGAAACGAGGAGTATATATATAGGGACGGGAACTCCCATTATATAC